ACGGTAACACACTCAGTTGATTCATTTTAATTAAGTTAAGGTTCAAGTTATCTACAACCGGACATTAACAAATTCCCATCTGCCCATAACCGCGGGCACGGCTTTCGAAAGTTCAAATCCCTGCAGGGGAGTCCCAACTTAGCCCATGACAAGCTCTCACGGTCAACGAAGGAATAGACCTCCTCCCGAGACATTCCGATCAGACTCGGTATCTCGATTCTTCAAGACACTTCGACAGGTTAAAACAAGACCAGCAACACCGCCCGAATGTGCCGACAAATCCCGATAGGAGCTGCACATATCTCGTTCTCAGGGCACACTCAAATGAGACTAGCTACTAGTAAAACCAACCCTCAAGTTTCCCCGAGGTGGCCCCGCAGGCAGCTCAGTCGGACCAACACTCGGAGGAGCACTGGCCCGGGGGGGTTTAAATAAGATGACCCTCGGGCTCTGGAAACCCAAGGGAAAAAGAGGCTAGGTGGCAAATGGTAAAACCAAGGTTGGGCATTGCTGGAAAAGCTTTAATCAAGGCGAACTATCAAGGGGTTCCTATTATAACCCAACCGCGTAAGGAACGCAAAATCCGGGAACATAACACCGATATAACGGAAACTAGGGTGGCAAGAGTGGAACAAAACACTAGGCGAGAGGCCGAGCCTTCCACCCTTTACCAAGTGTATAGATGCATTAAGATAACAAGATAATATAATGATATCCCAACAAGTAAATAAATGTTCCAACAAGGAACGGTCTCCAATCTTCACCTGCAACTAGCAACGCTATAAGAGGGGCTGAGCAAAGCGGTAACATAGCCAATCAACGGTTTGCTAGGACATGGTGGGTTAGAGGTTTGACATGGCAATTTGGGAGGCTTGAAAACAAGTGGTAGGCATCGTAGCATTGGCATAGCAAAAGAGCGAGCAATCTAGCATAGCAAAGATAGTAGTGATTTCGAGGGTATGATCATCTTGCCTGCAAAGTTGTCAGAGTTGACTGGATCCTCGAAAGCAAACTCAAAGGGCTCCTCGTTAGCGAACTCGTCTTCCGGCTCTACCCAAACAAGACAAACAAGCAACAAGGACACAATCAACCACGTGCAAGGCTCATACAATATGATGCAAACATGGTATGCTATGCGGGATGCGATGCGGGATGCATATGCAAGATTTGACAAGGGATGCAAGAACCTGGCCTCAACTTGGAAATCCAAGTGTGCCACTGGAAAGATGAGATGAAATCGCTTGAAAACGATATAAAGAACGCCGGAATCGGAGTTACGGTTTGAAAATGGCAAGCAATTCAAATATGACACCGGTCTGTGATTTACAGCAAGTAGCCATCTAAATGCAAAGAGATGAACATGCTACAGCACCCAAACATGGCAACAAAATACATGGCAGGGATGCATTCAAGATGCTTAACAAAAGTCTAGCACTGAGCTACGGCCAATTCATCCATTAACAGGTTCAAACAAGCATGGCAAAAATGCATATGGTAAACAGATCTCAGACTTAGTGAAATTAACACTTGTCTGGAATTTCAGATCAGGTAGCACACTTCGGAGCAACAAAACTACATGCTACAGGACCTGAACATGGCAAAGTAAAACATGGCATGGAGCTACTCAAAAAGCTTAACAAAAGTCTCTTAGTGACCTTGAGTCAAAAGGGATCAGAAAACATACTAGCAAGCATGTGAACATAGCAAAAGCATAATCAGTTTTCAGACTTGGTGAAAACTGGCACATGTTGAAACAGATCTCAAGTAGGCATGTTTACGAGCTCGATGCACTCACTACGAAGCAAGTCATGACGATATAAGCATACACCCATCAAGAATACACAAAATGCAAGCTAGACATGGCAAGAACAATAGCATTGCATGCACGGATCAACTACAATATCATCGGCAAAATCGCTAACAAGTAGACAATCTGCCCAGATTCACGAAGTAGCAAAAGTAAAGCTCGATTGACTCAAGCTAGGGTGCTCCAAAATTGCAAACAAAGACATGGATGAATAGAGCACTACAAGATTAATAAAAAATTCTTACTGATCATCCTCAAAAGAGACATGGATCACTAGGAAACATCATGAACATATGGCAATATGAGATAAACAGGTCAAGGACTTAGTGGAAATGCTAAGTCCCTGAAATCAGCATTACCAAGTGCCTCACTTTGCAAGCTTGTGCTATTCACCACACACATCACAAAAATACATGGGTTGCACCTCTGGAAAGATGGCAAAACCCTTAACAAAACATATGTAGAGCTCATGGGCATATCATGCACACAATAATCATGGCAAAAATGACAAATATCTAAATGGAGCAGCAGATCTGACAATTATCCCAAGTAGCACTCTTCTAACAGCATTTAGGGCATCAAGATGAACTCAAATGAAAATGATGCAATGGAATGAAATGATGTACTCTCTGAGACGAACATTTTGATATGCTATATGCCCAAAACGGAGTTACGGATGCAAAGTTACGATGCAATGAACAGGAGCACATGAGCTAGGGTTTCGGGCAAAGAGTCAACCGAGGTGGATCTCAGATCCAGATCCGGATCTCGCCGGAGTTACTGTTCATGCATGGACTTCGAGGATCGCCGGAGGAACTTGGAGCTCGCCGGAGTTGGGAGGAGGCACGCCGGAGGAGGGGAAGACGTCCGGGGCGACGGTGGCGATGCCGGTGGTCGGCGAGGCAGGCCCGGCCGCCGTAGCAGGAGCGGGCGGTGCCGGCTTGCTCCGGCCAGCGACGAGGGCTGCGGCCGGCGCGGAGGCGCGGCGGCTCGGTGCCCGGAGCTGGAGAAGGCGGCGGCGGGGCGACGCGCGGGGTGGCGCGGCGGATCCGGGCCGCGAGGGCCTCGCCTGGGCCTCCCGGGCCGGCGCGGAGAGAGAAGGTGGCGGCGAGTGGCGACTTGCCATGTGGCGGCGGCGGGGCGGACCGGACACGTCCGTCAGCGGGGAAGTTTTGTCCGGCGGACGACGATGATGATTTGGATCTAGGTTTTCGGGAGGAAGGGGAAGGAGAAATTCGGGGGTGTCTTTAAATAGGCATAGAGGGAGCTAGGAGTGTCCAAATAAGGTGCGGTTTTCGGCCACGCGATCGTGATCGAACGCTCTAGATGATGGAGAGGGTTTAGGTGGGTTTTGGGCCAAATTGGAGGGGTGTTGGGCTGCAACGCACACGAGGCTTTTTCGGTCCCTCGGTTAACCGTTGGAGTATCAAACGAAGTCCAAATGGTACGAAACTTGGCAGGCGGTCTACCGGTAGTAAACCAAGGCCGCTTGGCAAGTCTCGGTCCAATCCGGAAATGTTTAATCCCCACACACGAAAAAAAGGTAGAAATGACCGCCGGAGGAGAACGAAGCGCCGGAATGCAAAACGGACAACGGGGAAAATGCTCGAGCGCAAGAGATGAACACGTATACAAATGCAATGCACATGATGACATGATATGAGATGCATGACAACGATAATAACACACGGAGACAAAAACCCGAACCCGAGAAAATAAAATAACTTAACGCCGGAAACGGCAAGAGTTGGAGTACAAATTAGAAAAGTCACATCCGGGGTGTTACAAGGTCCTCGAGATGGAAACCAGAAAAGGACCTTCTTGTTGTTGTTGACAGATGAAGATTGCGATTTTTGACAGCAACGTGTCTGGCACCGCCATCACAGTCGGGGAGGATGGCGTGCTCGAGCTCTCGCGTCTTGTCATGGTGGTGTCGGCAAGGGATTCCTTGGTGATTACGGTTGGGACATGGGATGGTGACGGTGCTGACTTGCACATAAAGTCATCCTTCGCGTTCACGCCTCTTCTCTATGGTGAAGGGCGCGTTGTCTTCCCTGTGCTGGTTACATGCAGATTAAGGTTGTCTAGTCAGCTTTATTCGATCCAAATGTTGACGGATGACCTTATTCTCTGCATATTTTCATGGTTTTAGTTGTCACGGTGATTTTGCTGCTGCCCGAAGTTTTGCTCAAATGGTTCTCGCTAGGGTTCATATGTGATGTTTTGTTCTTTATGTTGATGGCTTGCAGTTTTAGCACGTTGCTAGTGTTTGAGGAGCCGCCTTTGCGGTCGCAGGGTTTCATGCTTTGGGAGTAGTCTGCATGTGGTCGTGTCTGTAATGATTTTCGCCTATCTTTTCGTTAATTAACTGGACAACTCTCTTGTGATTAATTGATTAAGAAAGCAAGTCATTGGACTCTGTTTAGAAAAAAGAATTATGACAATGTCATATTTACGTTTTCAAACTGCAGTCACTCTTTTGTAATGTTGGACTAAGTGATACTAAATTTATATAATGTACATTGATCAGCACAATCGCCTGACTGTAAGGTAGAAAAGTTGTGCAAACTATTCGCCATTGCAAACCCATATTCTAGTATCTATCAAATGTGAAATGATGCATACTGTAGATGTTAGTAATGCCATGCAGTTGTGCACTTGTAACAATTCATCCAATAATATAACCATTTGTGACTACAAAAAAAAGGACAAATACTCAGATGAACAGTGCCAAGTTCACTAATAATAACATGCAGTGTTTTTTTTTGTACAGTTCACATTATTTTATACCGAGTATTTTTGTTATGACTTTTTTAATATGCAAATTATATAGTACTCCACTTGCACCCATTAAATTGTGAACAATATTCAAAACTCGAAAAACAAAAATAGAGATGAAACATGGGGAGCATGGGCAACTTGTTGCCAAAATTTCACCGCAAAAAAGAAAAGAAAAATTGCCAAAATTACTTTCCGTGAAGCATATATATAGTCTTCACATGATGCTCAAGACTGAAACTGCAGATTAATAGATGCTGTCACCTCATGATGCTCACCAATACCAATTGGGGTTAGTTACATCAGCTAAGGTGGTTAGTGCGGCAAACCAGCAAGGTAGCGCTTGCTAACACAGCATCAAGAATCATCCAATTATATGCACATATATATAATGATATTTACTATAGCTCTCATCTCACATGAACCCTAGCTGGGTGAGATCGTCGTCCGGGATCTCCAGGCCTCCGGAGAAATCAAAGTCTTGCAGCGAGTCGTCCAGGCCGTCCGTGAACCAGGCACTAATGTCGTTGCCCTCCGGCACGTCCAGGATGTCCACCATGGGGTCCATCGGTGGCAGGTTCATGGGGGCGTCCAGGGACTCCGGAGCGACGTTGGCCGCGCTGTTCCTTGGTTGCTGGGTAGGTCTTGTGCTCAGAGGGTTGTTCCACTCGTTGGATTCTCGCGGCGACGGTGATGGGAAGCTGGAGTTGGATGGCTCTGTGACTCTGCCAAGGACGTTTCCAGATGTTGATAGCTGCGCTAGCTTCTGCTTTGGCTTCATCTTGGTCTTGCGCTCGTTCCGGCCGCTGCCAGACGAGTTCCGGCCGCTGCCTGATTTCGAGCTGGAGTTCTTGGCAGACCCATCTCTGCTCTGGTCCCTTTCTCTCTCGCCCTTTTTCAATTTTGTGCTACCTGCAAAAGGATCAGCAGAAGTTGGGATACCTCATGAAAAAGGATCTCTGACAAAATCATCATGCCAGAGTTAAGTAAAATTTGTTCAAGGGTGCTAGAAATACCTTGGCTCAATGGGCTTCTGTCAAGCTTTAGGGCCTTTGGCCTATCTGCAGATCCTGGAGGGACACCTGGAGCATAAGAAGGCAGATTAATTATATGGAAGTTCTTACAACTATAGTGTCAAATAAATAGGCGGGTTTGTGTGGCTTATTTCGATATCCACAATTGCATGTGCATTACCATCAACTGGGTCACTCTTTGGCAAAGGCGCGGACAGCACACTCCAAAGGAAAGGCTCCCTGAAGCAGCTTTTCTCTGTTTCCTCAAATTTCTGGCACCGGGCAAGTGTTCGCTTTGCAAAAGCCAATGCAAGCTGTTTTGCAGCCTTACTGGCTGCTTTACTGAGACCGCCCTTGTGACTAGAACTACCTCGACCACCCTGTGAAAAAGATCAAGGTTAAGGTTACTACTTGTAGTGGTTTCTGAAGTGGTAAACAAAAAAACCATGCATAGAAAGAAACATGCAACACTGGAAACCAACCAATAAAATATTTCCTAGTTATACAGAATGGACTAATAGTGAGTGCCAGGCCAAACATTGCTATCAACAAGACTACACTATGAAGGTGCCAGGCCAACATGCATCACATCACCCACCTCAGTTGTTCAGCAATCAGTTAAGACACGAAACCTATGGGAAGCAGAATGCCCTAATCGTCCAATTCCTTAAAAAATTTAATGCTAACAAAAAGTAGGTGGTAATACAACTAATAGAGTATTCAGGTACCAGCAATTTTTTGTATGCCCTCTCTACTAATTTGTTCATTGCGTGTTGCTCCAGGCTCCTGCAAACAAAATTTTGGAATTAGACACCGCAATAGTTTCTACTCAGTTACATTAATAAAAAATAGACATAGGTAGAACCATTAATACCTTTCCTCCATGTTTTTAGTATTTCGAATTGCTTTTTCTAGCTTATTTAATTGGCATTTCTTCTGATTCACCTGAAACAAGTCGAGAAGCATACATATTAATTAGAAAAGCATATCCTTTCCTACAAAAATGTGCAAGTTGCGCAAGTACTAAGAAATATGCCAAACTGAATGTTGTCAAAAGGACACGTGCAGGGAGGTATTTTTTGCATTATGCATTTTTTTTAATGTTTTTAATGCATAGAACTGCTGTAAATCCAATGACAAAAGGAAATCATCAACACGTGAAAAATGAGGATAAGGCTGCTAGAATTAGTTGAAGTGTGGTGCATAATCTCATTTGGTTTAAAGCTCCCTATGTGGGACCGTTTCAAATTGACTCAAACAATTCCAAGTTATGCAATATTGCCATATTCAAACAGCCCAAAAAAGTGACTTTCTCACCGAACCACTTATCTATTGAAATCTGCTAAGTGGGTGAGACCTGCTATTTCACTAGTTTCAGGTACTATCAATTTGTCACATGAGACTCAACATATCAAGCAATTCCACCATAATATTCTCATCAGTTTCACTACTTAAGCTTGAAGCCTCGAATGCAAGTTCTAGAACTACTAATACCAATGCTAGTTCAGTATGCTCTAAGTTTTCACAGTAACTTCATGTCAACTCTAGAGAGGATGAAATGATGACTTGATAACTTTAATTATCCGAATGATCGTTTGAGTTTAACCAAAATTGAATGCTGACTATACCCACCTGATCAAAGAGTCTTTTCTGCAGCTCCAAAATAACTTTATTAATATCCTCATCCTCTCCCTCGTCCAGCTCTGGCTGCAGTCAGAAAAAATATCGCCACGACCATGATTTGAGTTAATAAGGAAACATATGGAATAACACGCAATTACTGAAAACAATGAGGTGACGATCTATGATGCATCTGTTTTCTCAAGGATCATCAAAATATGTTTGCAGTTGGTTCACCCTAAATGAACATACGATGCAAAATGAGGGTCGACACTCTCACGACAGATCAACACCCACTGAACCACACCCCCTCAAGGTTTCGAATTCACAGCCTGCTTTCAGCCCTGATCACGGCATACTTCCAAAATTTGTCTGATCTAGTTAAAGTAATTGGCTTATATCATGTACATAATGTACTGATAATCTCTTGTCAGTTCCCAAGAAAACGAAAAGAAACAAAAAATGGAATCAAATAAGAAAGGATAGCAATTTCCTTTAGCAAGCATGGCAAATCCTTGCCATGTTCAGTTTTTTGCCAGGAATTGCCATGCTTGCTAAAAGATATTGCCATCCTCGCGACAACATAACTTGCCATCCTGACATCAGATTTTTAGCATTTCCATATAAAAATTGTAGCTAACTACTCCCTCCATTCCATATTAGTTGTCGCTGAAACGGATGTATCTGGACGTATTTCAATGCTAGATACATCTGTTTGAGCGACAACTAATATGGAACAGAGGGAGTACATGACAAAGAAATAACCTTCAAATAGACAACTTATCATGAATCGGGCTTTTAGAAACCATACCATCTCTGGAAAAATGTCAATACTGTGCAACTCGACCAAAGTCCTATCATGCAAAGACATCTGCGCATACTGATATCCATATAATGGTAAAGATAAATCTTTTCCGGGAGTTTGATACTGCTGTGTAATCTGCGGTACTGATCCATGCAAAGAGCCGTTTTCTGGGTACCCCATAACATTTATCCCATCTGATAGATTCTCACTGCAAACTGAACTTTGACTATATGAGCCCCTCAAATTACTGGAAACTGCGAAACCATTGGACATGCTGTTATATGCTGGGTTACTGTTTGAATGCTTGAAATCAGGAGACATTCCAAAACTGGATTCTAGCCCCGTAGCTTCAAATTCAACTGAGGCAGCACGAGGAAGGTAGTCATTTGAGAATTCCAGAAGTATATCTCCTTGGACACCATTGGACTCGGGAAAGTCATCAACATCTTCTACAATCAAGGCAGAGAGCAGTCTACTTGTCAGGGGAGCCATTTCACCAAATATTCCTTGCCCCTGTGCCTTTTGAGATGTGTTGTTATGATTCTCGCCATTATTATAAGACAAAATGTCAACAGATTCCCTTGGTCCAACACCATTTGCTTCCCCTTGATCCAGCAACAAAGAAGAATTGGATGGAGGCAGAACCTGGGAGGAATGCTCAACCTACAGATGAAAATAATATATAAAACATGGGTATCAAATTCAGATCTTTGCAGTACAGGGTAGACAAATAAAGGAATACAGAAGTTGAGGATTTTACTGGAAACATCTTGCACGATAAGAGTAGGGAGTAGACATATAAAGGAATACAAAAGTTGAGGATTTATTGAAAACATCTTCCACGATAAGAGTAGAGGAGTGGCAGAAGGTAAAGTACCATTGATGGTGGCCCATTGTAGTTAGCTGATGCATTTAACTTATCTTCATCGTGCTTATTAGACATGCCCATCTCAAGTTCTTCCAAGAATATTATCTGACCAGAGACTCCGGTAAGTGATGATTCATCCCAACAAGGCAACAGGTCCATTATACCAACTTGTAAGGAAAATAAAATCGAACCTGGTTTTTCAAGAAGGATAAATCTTCAGAGCTGATGAAAGTAAGCATGGGTTCTATTTTCTTCCAAAAAGGGCCAGCATATGCACCAACTGCAGAAAAGGATAAAGAATTCATCAACCATGAGACATGAAATTGCAGCTCTTTGCATGGCAAATAGATAACTACGATGTGTGCAATTGCACACCTATTGCACCACGGGCAGCATTTGCGGCAGCTAGAAGTTCTTCTCGGTCATCTTCAGATTCACCTACAACAAACAGCTTAGCATCAGGATCAACTTTCAGAGAAAGAAACCAAAGATCTTCAATGGTAAATTAAAATGTCTATCAGCAAACCTGTAGTATCCATTGACCCACAATTCAGAATTTCTGGGTGACGAGATGATGCTTTGCGGTCCGAGCCTTTCTTTGTTGGAGGACGGCCTAACTTACTGCACCAAATTAAAGAAGACCATAAGTTTCAGATACAAAATACAATACATGTGTTCGCTAGAATTCAGTCATTAAGCACCTTTCATTCTTTTCAGATGCAGGTCTTACGCTCTTTACCAACTTCCTCGTTTCAGTGCTGTCCAACTTCTCTTTTGGTATGGATGAACACCCTTTAACATGCATAGTGCCTCTTCCACTCCTCCCTTGACGACGAATACTACCATCTTCAAGTTCTTCTTTCAACGGAATCCTGCTTTTCTTGGACGAGAAAATTAAGTCTGATGCCATATGAGCTGAATTTGCCCCCTCATTCTCAAAGTCGCCACTGTTTGTGACTTTTTCCTTATTCCTGTGTTCAGTAGCAACAGACCCTTCACTTTCTGATAGACCAGCTGGAGATGTAACATTATCCATTCTAGATGCAGCTTGTGAATTATTGCTAGCTGCACCCCTTGGAAGTGAAAGGCCAGGCGTTTCTAAAGCTGGCCTAACAGCAACATCAACTGGTGATCCTTCAGATACGGGTTCATCAAAATTTGACACCGGTGATACAACATTTGCTCTTCTTGTCCGTGACATTTTCTGTGGACGTTGACCCACCCAAGCAACAGGAGGTGAAGAGGCAGTTGCAGCCATGGGACGCTTGCGATTTGTGGTGCTTGCCAATGGTGAGGCTTTATTTGTGCACGGTGCTTCTTCCCATTCATCAATTCCTCCAGCTGAGCGTAGCAAAGTAGATGATGAGTGGATACCGACAAGCGAACTGGTTCTTGGTGCTCTGGTTGCTTTACCCTTGGTCACAGGACTTAAGGTTCCTGGTTGCATATCCTCGGAAATATGTGCCCTGGAATCACGATGGATACAAAACATCAGAAGAATGAAGAAGCACATAACTATTCATATTTTGCAAAAAAAAAAATTGAAAGTTCGAAACTACATGAACTACAGCAGCACAAAGAGGTTTCAACCATTCAAATCAGTCTGATCATGTTATAGAATGTGTTGCTACAATATTGACATCAAGCTATCAATGCTTACTTGTTTCCTTTCACCAAAACCCGTTCTTTGTCTAGCCCACCATGGCGCTCTCGTCTTTCATTTGGAAGAGGGGTGGAATCCATCTCTGTCTTCAGAAGATACCGTGAGCCAGAACTACTCAGTTGAGAGCTTCCATCCATCTTGCTACCTCCAGATGCTCCAGCAGAAGCTCCATGTCTGTCATACAACAATTAAAAGGAGGGATAAGATAAGTGCCCCTGAATGCGGAGATGACTCACCATGGTCATGAACCTGAAGACAATAATCTGAGGTTGGACCTCTGAAGCTATAGCATTCTTAACCTCATAATGCATCTCCATAATGATCCATTTGAAGCTCATGTGGAAAAACTATAAATACATAACAAAGCTGATGACAGTGCACGAAGATTACCTAAATGGAATAGCATCACTAGATCGTCCACGTACTTCACTGTTTGATCTATGTTGAACTGATGGTTTAACATCTCGGTCTACATCACTGCCTCTATTGAGCATAGTTCCAACAGAACGCTTACGTTTCATCTTTTTCTCCCATCCTTCACCACCAGGAGCTAGGCCTCGTAATTTGTCTTCAGAAAACCCTGATGTGGCATTGGCAATTCTAACGGAGCTTTTGTCCTTCTCCAAAGATGGGTTTTTCTCAGTATCAACCAAAGGACCTCCTTGCCTTGTAGAAACACTAACACGCCCTTCCAACTGAAATATGCGGCCAAAGAGTCAAAACAAAAGCAAATGGTAGCCTTTGAAGACATAATAAGGATGAACGCACTCATAGTCAAAAAAAAGTAAAAATGCACTATTGTCTAACAATTGAACAGGCCACAAAAAAAATAAGTGTGGGGACTTTAACTCAACCACTGAGCAACAAAAGGGAATTCGGTAGAGAGACATGGTATTAAAGTGTTGCTCAATCTTGACACATCTCCTACCTAGGGGAACTGGTCCACTCAAAGATTAATCGACCTAACGGTTCTGTCTCCACAATGTTTTAATTCAGTCATGAAATTCGATACACTGAAGGAATAGTTGGGCCTAAGCGCATAGTTATCAGCATCATAGAAGTATACAAAGATTTGTCATTTAAGATGAAATCACTTCCATGACCTGTTGTCCCATGTGATTTGCGCACGCACACTGACATGCCATGCCAACCACCAGTTCACACAAATTTATCTGTTTAGAAGAGGAATAACGGAACCTCTAATATGTCATAACGCATAACCCAAAGTACCAACTCAAACTAACTACAACCGTGGAAGCAATGGCATACAAGCGAAATGGAGTTGCTGACTGAAAGCATCGGTGAAGTAGCAGAAGTACAAACCCGTGCATCTGCCGTCAGCGACGACCGGACACGCTTGCTCATGGTCGAGCTCTTAGCCCTCTCCTCGAGCCTCTGGGCGGGGTTATCCCCGCTGTTCTGAGCCCCGATCCTGAGAGAGCCACCGACGTTCCCCGACGACCTATCCACCGACGCGCCGTCGCTCCTCTGCCGGCGCCGCGTGACCACGTTCTTGTACTTGTCCAGCTTCTGGATGGACTCCTGCAGCGACTTCACCCTTTCCCTGCAACCCCATTCCATTTCAGGCCCCACCGGAGCAGCAATGCACGCGGAAGAAAAGCACGGCGAAAAGATACGAGGAGCAACGTGTACTTGGCCCTGGCCGACGACTCCGCGACGCCGCCCCGGATCCGCCGGAGCTCCTCGGCGGCCGCGGGGGGGAGCGGCTTGCCCTGCGCCAGCGCGGCGAGCGGCTGCTCCGCCGAGTCGGCCAGCGCCCGCCGCAGCTCCGCGGAGCGCGAGTGCCGGTGCTCGCCGACGGGGAACTGATCCAGCGAGATGTACTGCGCGAGCGACGGCGGCTCCGTCGCGGCCCCCGGCGCCCCCCTCGCGGGGAAGCCCCCCGCGGCGGCGTCGGGCCTCGAGCCTCCTCCTCCTCCTCCCGACATCGCGCCTCGTCGTCAGCCCCCTCCGAAGCTGCACTGCATCAAGGTCAAGAACGAATCCCGCCGACCGGCCGGACGAGGGCGGCCGGGATCGGCCGGATTGGGGATCGAGGGGCCCGCGGGTTGGGGAATTTCGGGGCGGGCCGGGGGGCAAAACCCTAGAAGCGGAGATCGCCGGCGGCGAGGGGGAGCGCGTGGGGGAATTCGGCCGGGTTGCGGGTACAGATGGGAGAGAAAGATCGGTCCTTTTTAGGCACGAGGGCAAATTCTGACACTCTTGGACCCGGGGTCAATTTGGTCAATCATCATTTCATTTCTCTTTTGTAGTACAATTTTTTTCAAGGGTAGTGTAGTACAACCTAGGTTTTCTATACACCAAAACGTTTTTTTCAAGCTCACTTTCTTCGATTTATTGGGCCTCAAAGCCAAAATATGATATCAAGCCGTAACTAATTTCGTTGGAAACGAGTGCACGTGCCCACCCATGTCGCTACTTAATAACCACGCTCTCTCGCGGCAATATGAGTCGCACGCTCTCTCCCGAAACTGACCACCTATGTTGCTACTTAAATTCGTTGGAGTTACTGCTAGTGGAGGATAAGGTGGATAGTTGGAGGCGAAATGGAACATAAAGATGTCGTGTGGGGTAATTATTCAAGAGGATCGAAGATTCAAGGCGAATAACACAAAGGGGGCGAGGGAAATCACTACGCATAATAACCACGAGTTTAGATCGGGCGCATCTTTACCGCGTATTAATTTCGTTGAAAGTAGCACGTCGCTCTGCATCCCGCAGAACTGGTCACTCACATTTCGCAACTTAACTTTGCTAGAGTTACACGTAGAGGGGACCAATGGAGAGCGGGATCGAAAATGGAAAATGGACACGCATCGGTAAACGTCAAGGAGGATAACATGCGGAATGGGAGGATGAAGAGAAATCAATGCACATAATAACCATTGCCTTGCAAATCTGAACTCTGCCCGTCAACCCTACGTCCTTCTAATCCCCAAGTCAGTAGTATAAAAGAAAATTAGCAAGTTCCATAGCACGATTAAGAGCAAATGAGTACTAAAGTTGTACCATGCAAAAGAAAAAATCTACAATGAAACACCAATCATAATATTTGATCTCAACAGATGCATTACACGTGTGATCTATGTGAAGATACCCTAGATCCATACAAGTAGCTACTAATGTCTTTCTACAACGAATAGATTACATGTAGAAGACATATAAGAAAATCTTTAAAACAAATATGGGAGTGTGTACATAGTGATGTACTACTACCCTAGGGTTGAGATGGTTGCACATACACAAACAATGACATACAAAAAAATCTTTAGAATAAATACGGGGAGTGCCTACATAGTGTTGAACTACTACCCTAGGCTTGAGATGGATTGCACATACACAAACAATGCCACAAGGGTTTTCATTTTTATATCCACATTTTGCAGTTCCATTTCCAGTGAGACCAAAATATGTCAGGTAGGGAAAATTTCAAAAAGTTAAGAACATAGATTCATCCTTGAGATGATTCGAAGGAAATGAGTAAGATATTTATAAGTATTCCTTAGTTTCATCGATGTAGACATCCTACCTTGGGGAATAAAAATCAACAATCCCGCTGCCATGGATAACCAGAGATTTCCATCTTTCAAATAGAAAACCTCCTTAAATTTGACAGTCAAAGCTTCTGGCAAAATATGTACGGTTCTTCATTTGGATACATGCATGCATAGGGGTTTACTGAGCTGAGGAGAAAACTTCGCCAACCATGTAATGAGCATGGTTAGTTATATCAAGACAACACACTTAGAAGAGGAAGAAATTAGCAGCATAAGATTTGATCGTAATCGTTTATGTTGGATTCATTCTCGAAATAAGTACATTTAGGTTATCACCGAGAAGAAGAAACTAGGGAGCTTGATAAGTCTCCGGTTTATCTATTTTTTTAGTTTATCTTATTATATTATCAATCTTCTATGCTTTATATGCCATTTTATATCATTTTTATGCACTAACCAATTAACTTAGTGAGTGTCAGTTCCTATTTTTTCCCTATTTCTTTTTTCGCAGAAAAAACATACCAAATGATGTCCAAGCACGACAAACTTCACGGTGATTTTTTCTAAACCAGAAGAAACCCTCAAAGTTCGGGGATGCACCGGATGATGATCGAGGGAGGCACAAGCTCAGGTGGCACGCCCTGCTTTCGCACTCCCTACTGATGCCTATTGCATGAATCTCATTCAGTCAAACTAGAAATTGTGTTTTTACAGCTGGAACGATGAATGTAATCCTACTATTCTTTAAGGGTAGGGTCGTCTGAGTACGGTACTATGGACATCAGGGCATATTGAATATAGTCATATAATTTGGTGTGCTGACACACCATTCAAGGTAGAAGGAAGCAGTGGGGGAGGCGTGCCTTATGAGCTTATGGGTCCCACGTGTTCCCGTTTGACCTAATTACAGCGCTATAAATTCCCTAAAATCCAGAAACCCCTAGAGCAAGACCCGAAACAATTCCTCCACTGCCGCAAGCCTCTGTTATTCCCTAGTCCCATCTGGAGTCCATTGTTGGTACTCTACCGAAGGGGAAAACCATTGGGGAGGCGATCTTCATCAACTTTGCTGCCTCCATGATGATGTGTGAGAACTTCCCACAAGACCTACGGGTCCATAGCAGTAGTTAGATGGCTTTTTCTCTCTCTTTGATCTTAAATACAATAATCTCTTCAAAGATCTATTTGATATAATTCTCGCGGTGCGTTTGTTGGGATCCGATGAATTGTAGGTTTATGATCATATTATTCACTGAAAGTATTTCAGTCTTTTCTAAGATTTATTTGTGTGTGATTTTATAGCCTTGTATTTCTCTCCGATCTATCCATCTTCTTTGGCCAATTAGATTGATTTTATCTTCAGTGGGAGAGGTGCTTGGTAGTAGGTTCAATCTCTCGGTGTCCTTACTCTATGATAGAACGAGTTGCAAGACATGTATTTGTATTGTTGCTACTAAAGGTAACATCTTGTTGTGTCTACATTATGCTATTATGCTTCAAGCATTACTTTGTTATTATGAACTTGATACCTTGCGATGCATGCTGGATAGCAATCAAGAGGTGGATTAATAGTAGTAGATACAGATGGATTTTGTTCTATTTGTCTCGGACGTAATGCCTATATAGTGATCATGTCATGAAGAATCATCATAACTATGTGCTATTCTATTAATTGTCCAACAGTAATTTGTCTACCCATTGTATTATGCTCATGAGAGAGATGCCTCTAGTGAACCTTGATACGTCTCCAACGTATCTATAATTTTTTATTGTTCCATGCTATATTATATTCTATTTTGGATGTTTAATGGGCTTTATTATACACTTTTATATTATTTTTGGGACTAACCTATTAACCGGAGGCCCAGCCCAAATTGCTGTTTTTTTGCCTATTTCAGTGTTTCGAAGGAAAAGGATATCAAACGGAGTCCAAACGGAATGAAACCTTCGGGAACGTGATTTTCAGAACAAACGTGATCCAGAGGACTTGGAGTCTACGTAAAGCAATCAACAAGGAAGGCATGAGGTAGGGGGCGCGCCCACCTCCCCCAGGCGCTCCCTCCACCCTCATGGGCCCCTTGTTGCTCCATTGACGTACTTCTTCCTCCTATATATACCCATATACCCTGGAAACATCAGATACGGAGCCAAAACCCTATTTCCACCGCCGCAACCTTCTGTACCCGTGAGATCCCATCTTGGGGCCTTTTCCGGCGCTCCGCCGGAGGGGGCATTGATCACGGAGGGCTTCTACATCAACACCATAGCCTCTCCGATGATGTGAGAGTAGTTTACCTCAGACCTTCGGGTCCATAATTATTAGCTAGATGGCTTCTTCTCTCTCTTTGGATCTCAATACAAAGTTCTCCTCGATCTTCTTGGAGATCTATTCGATGTAATCTTCTTTTGCGATGTGTTTGTCGAGATCCGATGAATTGTGGGTTTATGATCAAGATTATCTATGAACAATATTTGAATCTTCTCTGAATTCTTTTATGTATGATTGGTTATCTTTGCAAGTCTCTTCGAATTATCAGTTTGGTTTGGCCTACTAGATTGATCTTTCTTGCAATGAGAGAAGTGCTTAGCTTTGGGTTCAATCTTGCGGTGTCCTTTCCCAGTGACAGCAGGGGCAGCAAGGCACGTATTGTATTTTTCCATCGAGGATAAAAAGATGGGGTTTATATCATATTGCATGAGTTTATCCCTCTATATCATATCATCTTACTTAAAGCATTACTTTGTTCTTATGAACTTAATACTCTAGATGCATGCTGGATAACTGTCGATGTGTGGAGTAATAGTAGTAGATGCAGAATCATTTCGGTCTAATTGTCGTGGATGTGATGCCTATATATACATGATCATACCTAGATATTCTCATAACTATGCTCAATTCTACCAATTGCTCGACAGTAATTCGTTTACCCACCGTAATACTTATGCTCTTGAGAGAAGCCACTAGTGAAACCTATGGCCCTGGGTCTATTTTCCATCATATTAATCTTCCAACACTTAGCTATTTCTATTGCCGTTTATTTTACTTTGCATCTTTACTTACTCTTTATCATAAAAATACCAAAAATAGTATCTTATCATATCTATCAGATCTCACTCTCGTAAGTGACCGTGAAGGGATTAAAAACCCCTTTTATCGCGTTGGTTTTGAGGTTCTTATTTGTTTGTGTAGGTGCGTGTGACTCGAGCGTGATATCCTACTGGATTGATACCTTGGTTCTCAAAAACTGAGGGAAATACTTATGCTACTTTACTGCATCACCCTTTCCTCTTTAAGGGAAAACCAACGTAGTGCTCAAGAGGTAGCAAACCTATGGCCCTCCGGTCCATTCACTTTATATTTACTAAATGCTGAGGAAATAAGCAATTTTTCGATGAAATTAATCCAAGAATAAATCATGAGCATGGCGTAA